AACAGCCTGAATAATTAAACATTCTATTCCGAGTCAATATTCAACGCGGACGAAGTCGCGGGCACAGCTAGTTCCTAATAAATTTCTAAGTTATATATTGCCATCATGTGAAAATATTAAAGTTTACACTCGTCAAACCTTTTGTTTCACCTTCAATTATTTGAACGGAATTGGAACCAGTTCAAGTTCTATTTTTCGTATTTTTTCCGTGTCGTATTTTTTTTTCAATTTATAATCGATTGTCAATTTATTTTCTCGCTATCAATGAGAAAAATAACTTTACAGTCGTCCGGAAAAAACATGGCGTGTGAGCCTTAATACTAAGTGTATTCTTGTTCTAGTACTTAAATATCTTACAAAGCACAAGAGTCAGTCTCAATAGTAAGGTGTCGTCCCCTAAATCAGTGTGATAAATAGCCTCTTATGTGTGAACGATGGCTATTTCACATATACGGCAAACCGAATTTTACCACCTATAAATCAAGAAATGCCACACCAAACTCACTCTTATATCAAAGTGATAAGAGTGCTTATAGAGTGCTTTTGAAGTCAATGGTTCTAAGATGTATTTGAGCTTAGGTTACACGGATGAACGAGTCTTAGGCTACATATAAGGTCATAAATATTATCAAATTTAACTCAAACTTTAAAGAAAGCTTGGCACACAGGTATTATTACAGTGCTTTGCAAATACAGTTCGTATTCATGTTTGACAATAAATGTAACATCCGTTACGTCATCGTCGTGAAGTATTATTAATTTTTTAATTATAGTTTTAAAATGTTATTTTTATGATAGAGGATGACAGGTGAAAGCTAAAATAGCCCAGCCAGATAACATCTAAACACGATGCGCTGTTGATCTATTTTGGCTTTGGATATTCAGAAATTCACAGACTGAAACCGAAACGCGATTCATATTTTACCAATAGGCCAAGCCCGAAAACTATAACAAGTTGAAAGTATAAAACACATTTTTATTTATTTAAGTAACATCTTAACAAAGTAACATTGGAAAACGTAACCTTCTCAATACAGGGCAAAACGCCGGAATATCGAGTTAAATAAATTCATACCCACAACACAGTAGAAAAAGTTAATTGGCACAACGCAGTGACCTATACATGCCCTACCAATTAAATCCGCATAAATCGGTATCGGTTCGTTGACAAATAAATCGGATGCATTAATTCCCTCGCCTAATTGGTCGGAGCGCGGACGGCTCACGTTCGGTGCGGTTCGGATGCGGTTAGGGCTGTCAACACGGCCTTTTTATTTCACTCGAAGTAAATAAGAGCTTCGTCTTTTTTCATTTATTTTTTATATTAAGTCGCCGGACATGAAAACCATTAAATTTTTTTCACTTAACGGTTTAAAACGCGATAAATATTAGTTGATATTTTCAGCTCCTGCAAAGCATCCAAACGTCGGGCCGTAGTTAAAATAATTTTCAAATAAGTTTAACTTATATATATCGCGTTTTAAACCGTCGAAGTGTTTTATTTAAAAGAAAATTATGCAGTTAATTTATGCCACAGATCACTCCTAAACTTAATATACGAGTATAACGTAAATAGAGTACCTAATTAACTAAAACTAATGTTACCATAATATAACTAAATCCAAAACTAAAAAAGGTCGACAGCTCATTTTTTTATTTTTTTTATTTTTTTTTTTATGGATATTTCACCTTCCATCGAGTGAACGCCATGTTTGTCCTCTTCTGTCATAAAAAACTAAGATGTTGCGCCCTGCGAATGATCCATAAAATACTATTACATTATTTCCTAACAAACAATTGATATTTTTTATTAATATATTAAGTCTTTCATTCATTTAGTCCAATGTCCTCAACATTCTGAATCTCATCCTGAATCTCTTGCGTAAAATTATCATCTTTCAAAGTTAGGAGACGTTTTGGTTAAGTCTGATTTTTACTTTTTCAAGTTTAATGAAATAGAATATTAAGTATTAGAAACTGTGGAATTTATTCAAATCAACTTGTGTCAACCCTATGTATTACATTTCTAGGACCTAGCTGCGGCACTGTGGTCTGTTTAAGTACTGACTCGAACTTATCAATTAACGGAAGTAATTGCTGGCTTTTACTACTAATATTACATTTTGATGTTTACATCAAATACAATTTTAATATATCGTATATACATTAATTTAAATTTTATAATTAAGTTATCTAAAAACATTACATAATCTATATAAAATATAATCAATATGGTAAAAAAAAATATGCATTTTAAAATTTACATACCATCATTTTTTATCACGATATTAATAACACACCAAACCACAAAAGTTACCCCCCACAAATTTAATCTTTATAAATTATAAAATGAAGAATTATTTTTCATTCAACTTAGCACAGCTGGACTCTTCATAATATTTTGTATGAAATATTGTTTAAAATATGAAAAGAGTATAAGCATTTACTAGACCGAAACTGTTCGCTGGTAGAAAATAAGATAATCCACGTACTCGCCATAAAAACCCATCAAACAAAGCCATTAATATTTCAACAACCATCAACAAGAAGCGTGTAATAATTCAGTGTACAGCGAACGAAAATAGAATACTTTAGTGAGGTCTTCATATATCTTGAATCGTCTATGACTCAAGCACAGGGACGGGCTTAAATTTAACTACAAAATGTCCAATGTTCTTTAGCCACTTTTAATATAATTTGCTTACCTAATAATAGTATTTCGAATATGCCAGTAACTTTTGATTTTTTTCGTAAACAGATGTATGTAGTCGATAATAAACTTACTATAAAATATTTCATACAAAAATAGACTTTTAAATAAAGTCTTACACATCAAAAAAAAATATTGTTTATTGTATTGAAAAGCATATATATAAAATCAGTGTTTATTTTAAAAGACAAAAATAATACAAGTATAAACCTCTACCATAACCGCATCTGTAGCCAAACAAGCTAAACATATTGCCTAGCATTGCGATAAGCGCGAGAAGTCCTGGGTTCGAATCCCACGGAAACAAACAAGTGTTTCAGTCAGGCAGGGCACATAAGTCTAATCTACTACTTGCCTGTCAAAGAACGGAACAGTGAAATGGCCACAGAAATGTATTCGCCCCATTGCCCACGAGGGGGAAACGGAATTTCATCCTTTTCAATTCAATCAGAATCAAAACAATACCCTACCCTACGCGTCGAGCACAATAGTAATGGTGCGTACAAGTTGTAACTTGTTCAATCATGCATTAGCGAATGCAAAATATGTATTCAATACAATAGACCATGTCGGATTACAGGGGATGCCGGATTAGAAAGGAGCCGGATTACCGGGGGTCCACTGTATACCCGTTTGTAAAATTCTCACTCAAGTTAAATACAAATAGTTTGTGTAGCTTAAATTGCTTTCAATCCAACCCTGGATATACTTTTGCCAACCACCTGTCTTAAGGATACCTTTTATGAGCATTTCTCAGATGACGTCCATGCATTTTTATACAATATCGTCTGAGTTACAAGCCAGTTATATCCTAAACACAGAATTAAACGTGTCTCTTAACGTTCGCATGAAGAGTCATGGTTTTTGAAAACTTTCATATTTTTCACATGTTATTATGATGGCAAATAAATTAAAAATCCCATAAGTGTTAAGATTAAAATATATTATTAAACAAATAGTTTGAAAATGTTCAATTGGTTACTTTTTTTTTTCAATTTGAATAGAACTATAACATACTTTTATGTCGAAGATGCGTATGAGTTCTTCATTTGAATGAGATACCAAACTACCTAGTCTAGAGATACAAATATAAATTGGAAATCTGTGTTTACCTGCCTGATGTTGTAACCAGATTTGATGTATAGATGAAGTAAAAAAATCCACCGAAACAAACCTTTTAGCGAGAGCGTTATGTTCACCGAATTATATTTTTATTTAGCCTATTGTCGCTGAGACGTACAGAATACGAAATGTAATTTGAAGCGACACTGGTGAAAATCGTATATCGTAAGGTAATTACTTACAGAGCAAATTAATATGTATCACGGTGGGTGATAGGAGTCTATCTTGAAGGAGAGTAACTCAATTATATTGACCTACATTTTAATTCACAAGCTGCAGCGTTTCGTTTTTATAAAATTATAATGCCATTAATATTTTAATCAATTAAAGATTTAATATATTTCAAATGTTATTGCACATTATATTATTTAAAAATCTATTTTAGATCAGATATAGATAACACGTTATCTCAATTGGTTAGAGCACGAAACGCTGTGGATGCCGGTTCAAATCCTGCGCATGTCGTAGGGGAGGGGTGGCTGAAAGGGATTTTTGAATTTGGTCGTGTAAGAATTTGGAAATTAGAGACGAAGGAAGCTTTATTAACGAACTATTGAAATGAAATGCAATATATAATATTTCTTATTTTTTTTATATTAAATTTATTTGTCCCTTTCATAAATGGACTGTTTGAAAGGGACGTAATAATTTTTGAAAGGGACAGTACCTAATTTTGAGAAAAAATAATGAACGACTTATTGTAATAAATCAATAGCGACTTTGGTCATTTTTTTCTTACCATATTACTAAACTAATGAAATAAACACTTTTATGTAACTATGAAATTAACAATAATAAAATGTTTTTCTTAGATACAATTAAACTTAAAACATTATTAAAAACTTTTTTAAGACCCTTATTCACTTTTCTTATAATTAACAGAAATTAAACACTTATAGAAAATTAAAAGAAAATAAAAAATTGTAATCATCTCTTTTTAACAGCTTTGAAAAATAATGTTTTTGTTCAACAGTCTCTATAAACTTTAAATACATTGTAAAGTTAAACTAAACTTAGATACTAATCATTGCAGTTTTTAGTGGATATGAGCAAAAATAATTAAAAGTACCTTTAATGCCACAGGTTTCGTGTGCCCATTTTGTGCAAATTTTACATTGATACCAATCTTCGGTGCTTTCTAAATATGTTTCTTACAAACATACATTGGTCATGTCTCCTTTTTATTTTTTGTAATTGTACGTTTTCTTAACCTTGGAGCGTCTTTTTCATTTTCTAATATATCATTTATTGAGTCAGAACCCGTATCTATATTTGACGAAGCATCGCTGCTATTGCTGCTGCTACTGCTTGCAATTTTTCGTGCAGCCTTTTTCTTCTTTTGACTAACTGTAACATTTTTCGTAATATTCATTTTTTTCTTTTTAGCTTTCTCGTTACGTTTCGTTTTGATAGATTCTTGATCTGCTAAATTATTTTTAAAAATTTGTTTCACATGTTTTAGGTTTTGTTTCTCAGATTTGGGTGTTTTCTTTTTTAAGATATCCATCATATTTTCTAAAAGCAGTCTTTCTTTTTCAGGGGTTTCCGTTATAATCGTAGTTTTAGTTTACTTGCTTCCCAGTAGATTTTCGTGGTAAAGCTTTAGGTATGGTCGAACGACTTCTGGAGTTATTAGAAGGTAAGCAGAGTTAGAAGATCCAGGTCGTTATTTTTTGGTTTTCCAGGTTGTGGATCATTCAAAGTAAAAGATCCTGGTCGTATCTCGTTTATGATCGATGTTTCAGGTTGCGAATCATTAAAAGTAGAGGGCCCAGTTGTGGTTGACTTAAATGGACGTGAAACGATTCGTTTATTTGAATCAAGTTCAGGGTTAATGACATAAAAGATCTTTGAGGCAATTCTTCTTCATTTGAGGAAGATTTGTAGAGTCTTGAAACAGTGGGAGTCTTGAGACTGTGGTTCAGTCACGAAAGCAGGCAAAAAATCTTCATCTGAGAAAATGTTTTTATTAATTGGCCATATCCCGGTGTTCTTAAAACCAGAGGATATATTATTCATATTAAAAGCAGCAAAGAAAGCATCTTTAGCAAATTGAGCCACATTATAAATTGTGACAGTTTTGCCAGGGTTTGAGGTCATCCAGTCATTCATGCTGGCTCTATATCGAGCTTTGAAGGGCCCGAATACTGTCACATCGAGAGGTTGCAGTCGGTGACTACAGTGAGGTGGAAAGGTTAGTATTATTATGTTATTTGTTCGGGCATACAGCACTACATTAATGGTTATATGCGTTTTGGTTGTCGAGGACAATTAAAGCCGGCGAATCAGCACTAGGCTTAACAAAGTGCACAAAATGTTTCAAAGCTTTTAAAAAACAATCTTCAGTTATCCAACCAGAAACATTAGCGAGGCCTAAAGCACCTGTAGGACCATTTTCTAGCATGTGTTCCTTAAAATGAACACGTGGGAATATAAAAACAGGAGGAATACTTCCACCAGCAGCATTTGCGAAACCGAGCATAGTAACAAGCGCTCCACGTTCAGTTGAGCTGATTTGACCAACTCTCTTAACACCTGCTTGGGCAACTATCTTTGGTCATTAGTGACCGTTGTGCACCCAGTCTCATCCAAATTTATATCATATTTGGAGGGAAATTATGCTTTAAGTAACATTTCTCTAAATAATTAAAAAGTTTTGAACGTTGTGTCTATTAAAGCTCGTAGTTCTATAGAGAATATTCTCAGGTTTTTTACGCTCAGCGAATCATGCCTTTTTAAAAACCCTTAAGCCAATCTTGACTAGTGTATTATTTTTTTCCCAAGAAGAGGGTATAGAAAGATTTAAACGAACAGATACTGATAGTAGTTCTCTGACTTGTTTAGTAGTCAAGCCATGACACATTTTTGCTGACGTCTTTAAGTATTCTGCCAGAGAACATTCCTGGTCAACCGTAAAAATTTTTTTATTACCAATGTTAGGTTCATAAACAAATGATGTACATTTAGAACTTTTAGCCTTTACGATCAACTGTGCAAATGGATTTGCTTACGTTAAATGTTTCGCAGCCGATCTCACAATAGTTTTTGTAATACTTCATTAACTGTTCTTCATTTGTGTGCTCGACACGGTTTTTTCTTAGGTGCCATTTTAATCTAAATAAAAAAAAGAAATATTATAAACCTAGTAAAATAACAGGCTTGAAAGGGACAGTTATGAAGGGGACGTCCCATTCATAGCCATTTGTCCTGTCCCTTTCATAAATATCATACGAAAATTTGATACATAACCACAAAATCTACAATATTAAATTAAAGTTAACTGACCTTATATTCTTACGTCTATGGATGTCCAGCCTATCTTAAACAGTAAGTTACACACAACTGAGTAACTAGCAGCACTCGATAAAACGTTTACAATTCACACAGAAAAAAAAACTATTCGATCACAATAACAACACTCGTACGTAACCGCCGTGTTTGAAATGGGTGGAGTATGAAGTTTGGCGGAACGAACTTGCATCAAAGTTGCCATAGACAAAAATATCTTTGTCTCGAAATCATTTATATTAACCCGTAATTTAAATTGTCCCTTTCAATAGTGTCCCTTTCATGCCACCCATCCCCTACATTTTTTTCTATTACGTCGCCGAAAACACAAATTGATGCGAAGTAGTGACAGTGACAGACAATTTACATAATATTTATTTACATAATAGTTATTTAATTTTGAAAAGAACTATCACTTGCATACCTTTAACAGCATTTTTTATATAGCTGATAAAAAACACATAAAAACTTTTTTACTAAATACTGTAAAAAAAAAATCCTTGTCGCTTAGTGCTTGCGCCGATACGTATTATCATTATGAATGACTAGATAATACAAACGCGATGTCTATCGATTTTCCTCTTATAATAGGATGATAGATAATTATTAAGTACAGTTACACTAATTCGTGCTTTGAATTTCAATGCCGTGATGTTTTATGGTATTCCAATGATATCTGTGCGAATTATACTAAATTTAATAATTACAAATATTATTACATTACAACACGCAACAAGTTGTTTGAAACGACTACGTATAATAATTAGTATATTCATTTAATAAATAGTCGTAATAACGCCCAATTTGAATAAAAATTTAATCCTAAAATGAAATAATTTAATGGTTTAAAACGTGAAGTATATGAGTATATATTTGCAATTTATTTTAACTGCGGCTCGATATTTCGGATTTTTTGCATCAGCCGTGGTCACGACGGGAAACGTTGTCGAAATCGGGTTAACTACATACTATAGTTGTGAGTATAATCCATTTTATTTATTTATTAGGAAGAATTATAGAAAAACAATACATGAGCGAAATTACTCACCAATGAATACAAATGAAGCTTAAAAAATTGTACCTATTAATATTTTGATATATCGGTGATATAAACAAGAATGATAAATACATCTCATTACAAAAAACAGTAGTTGTATCTATGGCCTATGATGCTTTTCACTGTTAACTACTGAATGTATTGCTTGGCAGACGATAATAGATGCTTGATTTTTTTAAGCCAGTTTTAAAGGTTTAAAGACATTTATATCTCAAAAAAAGATACAACATCACTCACTTGTGAACACTATACAAATTAACATTATTTTTACAATTTTACCCGCGTGCAATGCTCAAGAGATTATAACTAAGGATTACGCATTACGCTGTGTTTGTAAACACATGGTTGAATAATTGTTTCTACAACGCCACTGGCGGCAAACGTTTAAGGTGCGATGGGAGATTGTTAAACAACTGTGTTCCATGAAATGTTAACATTTTGTGGCGATAATTTGTTGTAATTTATGGCGAGATAAGGTAACTGCCTTTTAGAATCGGAAATTGAAGAGTGCTTGCTTGCTGGAATTTTGTATTCGAATAGAAATGATATCTGAGAGTTATTTTTTTTGTGTATACACCAATCTAAATAAAACCCTTTAACGGTTTAAAGCGCGATATATTAGTTAAACTTATTTGAAACCGATTTTTAACTTCGGCCCGACGTTTCGGATGTTTTTGCAGTAGCAGTCTCGCCGTGACCACGCCTGCTGCAAAGCATCCGAAACGTCGGGCCGAAGTTAAAAATCAGTTTCAAATAAGTTTAACTAATAAATCACGTTTTAATATTAATACATCAGGTTTTATTTAAATGAGTACTACTCGCGTAAACTATAGACAGTATATTATACACCAATTGTTCTACATAATATTTCGAAAAAATTGATTTACTAACTGACCGCAACTGAAGTTGCTTATGAGAATAGAGGACAGACAAGCATCTCGTGAACATTTAAATGGGCCCGTTGGTCTCATGGTAGCACTATATGGATAATGAACGGGTCGTGTTCGACCCCCACCGGGTCCAACATGTTTGTAATTTTTTAATTTAATGAATTCAAAAAAAAATATTTCAGACTTCTTTTAAATAAAACACTTTAACGGTTTAAAACGCGATATATTAGTTAAACTTATTTGAAAATGATTTCTAACTTCGGCCCGACGTTTCGGATGCTTTGCAGCAGCCATGGTCACGGGGAGACATTTTCAAATAAGTTTAACTAATATATCGCGTTTTAAACCGTTAAAGTGTTTTATTAAAATGTGTACTACTCGCGTAAACTATAGACAGTATTTCAGACTTCGTCTTAAAATCTGGATATTAAATGGGTGGTAAAAATTACGAAATTCCGTCCGAATCACGAACCACCATCCACAGATGAAGTTTAATCTCGTTTCGATTTCAGTCTGTGGATTTCCGAATATCCAACGCAAAAATACGTCAGTAGCGCATGTTGCTTAAATATTATATGGCTGGATATTTTTCCAGATAGACCTATATAGGTGGTAGATTTCACCTACCTGCTCTATATTGAGAAAAAAAATCTCAACAAGATGCGCTATCGAAATGTTTCGGCTCTGGATATTCTGTAATCTACAGACTGAAACCGAATCACGACATAACTACATGGATTTTTATCTGTGGGCGGTGGTTCTTCACCCAACCATTGAATAAACAGATTTCCATGTTTCCAACACGTCTCAGAAAACATATTAATTGACGTGAAACATGTTATATCCGGATCAATAATTTCCTTTCTTCTTTTCTTCGTAATAAATCGATTCACATATTTAAACATAATTTATCCGCCATAAAAAATTCGAGACCCTGCAATCTCCCTCTCTCTGCAGAATAATAAGGAGCACATGCGTTACATTTTTCGCGCCTTATTTTATGTCATCGGCGTTTTTTATCTGTGGCCATAAATGAAAGATGGCGCGTTTGCTCGTATCGATCTTTTTAACGCCACGGGAATTCTAATATTTATTTCGTCCAGATTCTTGTAATTATTGATTGTATTTTAATCTCTTATGGCAAAAGTGGTAAGTAAAAAGTAAATGTTAGACTGTTATTATACATAGAATTAGTAAATTATATGTAGTTGTGTAAAATACTATATGTGTCAGCGACTTCGTCCGCGTAGAATAGTTATTTTGGGCATATTTCAAAAAACTCAACCGTTAGCCATGACGTCGGACGCATTCCGTCGGTCTTGGAAGTTAATCTTAGAAAGTGAGAGGTATATAGTATTGTAGATTTTTATGATTCATTTAAAGAGGAATCATTCTTTCATACACATGACTTGGGTATCCTAAACCGTTTTCGCAGCTTACACCTCACAAATCCACATAGATTAATAATTTTCCCAACTTTTCCATATTATCCGCTGTTTCTTTGATGTTATTAGTCACAGCGCGATATTTTACAGCCTTCCTCAATGATCTAACCAACACAACACGCTGTATCAAATATTTTACATTCTAACCAGTATTTCCAGAGATAACCGCGTTCGAAAAAAAAACAAACAAACTCTTCAAGTTTATAATATATTAGAATAGATTTAAAACTTAATCCCTTGTTCCCGACCCATAACACTAGTATCCTTAACTCAATTGTGTACACATAAATAAACATGTTCAATGCGCTCTTAATGAAATTAGTTATTAAAACTATAAGACTTATAACATGCCAGCTCTAAATTATTGTTTAGATACAGAATATAAATAAGACTCCTATTTCCAAATTTAAAAATAAATTTCTATCGAAGCGTTCAAATAATTCAACTACTTCCTTCCTACTTATATAATCTTGGAAGCGGCAAGACGATTCTATCGGAATATTCCCCGGAAAAATATTAGAAAATGTTTGCCCCTCGGACCGATTGATTTGATTTTCACCTCAAGACGCTTTTTATAAACGGATGATGTAAATATTCACAGTTTATCACACAGCCTTCTATAAAACATAATTCAATATATCACAGATACAAATAAACTTCAGTTCTCATAAATATAAATTAAAACTTTCTTATCCATAACATAATATTAAAAGAATTAAGACTTGACAGACAATAAATCTAATTACGATTTAATATGTGAAATATAGATTTAGGAAGTTTAATTATTTTTAAATTTTTTTATTTACGACCCAACGTATCGGATGCTATGCACCAGCCGTAGTCACAGTCGTATGCTACATATTATGTGAACTGCAGTTTATACTAATTACCTTTTATATTTATTGAAAAAAGTACCTTTTAAGACTAAAAACTATTCAAAATTAAAAACAAAATCTTGATTGGATATACAAGAAAATGGAGTCTCTGTTACCAAAAGTAAATTGTTATTTTTTTCTTGTTTAAATATATATTAAATACTAGCTGTACACCGCCATGCTTCTGAATGCCAAAAATGACAAATAAAACAAACAAGAAGTTAAATGTATGTGTCTGTTTCATACTGTCTATTATGTGCTCCACACTAGTTTTCTCTATTTCTTAAAGTTTTCTTTTGTATTTTCCTTTGTGAGAATATTTTTTTATTATTTATTGTTTTACTATATGCATCTGTGGTTCAATGTAAATATGTCTAACCTAAAAACCAGCATGGTAACGAAATATCGAACACGTATCGCTATCAAGTGCTCCGCTGTAACAATAGCACTCATAAAGTATTATAAAATAGAAAAATAAACGTATTCCGCATTGGGCGAAATTGTTTCGTATCTCAACTATGTTTTGCGCTAGTAACGGTTCAAATTCATGTAATGTATGCAAATCACCTTTGGCGCACACAATCTGCGATCTGTTCGTACAATGCTTATATCTTGGCGCGTTGTTGCCAGATTATAATGCAAATGGTATGATGTGTTTGTTATCTGTGTACTATGCAGTTCTGCGTATTGTGCTGCATTCTAGCCAACTTGAGATTCTCTAATCAAGAGATTCTTAAAACTATGCGAACTAGCGTTCTTTATAACGTATTATAATAAAACAATGATGGTTTTGGTGGTAACAATGTATGGCGAATAAAGAACGGATACTTAATATTTTATTTGTAATGAGTTTGACTTCTTCTGAAAATATGACTATTAAACGGGTGTATTGGTAAAATAGACCGTGAATTTCCTAATATCGAAAGCCAAAATAGTTATATTTAGTAAGTACTGTTAGGTCGGAAAAACGATTTTAAACTCTTAAATATTCATTTATTACCCTAAATTAGGCTTAACCGACAGAATGCGCGCCAACGTTCGTATTTGACAGTTCCTGAGCTAGTGTCGGGACGCGCGCGGTAATCGCACGTCGCACTAGTGTTGTGTCGTCCCCGCTAAATCGGAGGATTATTCATATCAGTTCGGCCATCCTGTGTAGTCCTTCGCCCTCGAAGGATGAAGTAGCGCTCCCGCTAAACCGCCGCTGCAAGTGCAGCCACGGAGACTCGGCTCAGCCACCATCTGGAAATAGCCTCGTAGGCAGTAAATAGCCCCGTAGGCAGGTAATAGCCCCGTAGGCAGTAATAGCCCCGTAGGCAGTAAATAGCCCCGTAGGCAGGTAATAGCCCCGTAGGCAGTAATAGCCCCGTAGGCAGTAATAGCCCCGTAGGCAGGTAATAGCCCCGTAGGCAGTAATAGCCCCGTAGGCAGTAAATAGCCCCGTAGGCAGTAATAGCCCCGTAGGCAGATAATAGCCCCGTAGGCAGTAATAGCCCCGTAGGCAGATAATAGTCCCGTAGGCAGTAATAGCCCCGTAGGCAGATAATAGCCCCGTAGGCAGTAATAGCCCCGTAGGCAGATAATAGCCCCGTAGGCAGTAATAGCCCCGTAGGCAGTAATAGCCCCGTAGGCACAACATAGGCCAGTAGGCACTATGCCAGAGGGGTGACAGCATCTTGCTGTAATTCGTCCTCTGATGAACAACTGTCTTGCATAGCTTTCAAAACCTTCATTTAGTCACCTTATGACCAACCTTGTCACAATTGTTACACTTGACCACCTTGTTTAAGTTATTATTTTAAGCATTAAATGAACCCAAGGATTTCACTTCAATGCAGTTCGATGATGTTTTCATACAGGCCAGGTACTTTAACAAAGAATTAGTATCATGACAACTAGCCGACAACGCTCCAACTTCTAACAATTTGTCTCCAAGTGTACCCACAATTGCTTGAGCTATCACAACATCACTCATATTACATGATATGCCAATACCCAGCTTATCATAGTAAAATTTTATTGGGTCTTCATCTTTTGCCTTGATACGGTTAACAAGTTCCCTAATCTGTGACAACTTATTCTTAGTGAATGGAAATGCTGTAATTAATTTTATTTTCCACTCATCCCAGCTAATGTCATAGCAAGTTTGGTGTTCATATCAGCTTTTAGCATAGCCACCCAACGTAGAAGTGCAGTTGCAAATCAAAGTGCGTTCATCCCAGCCATGCATATTAGCAACACCTTCTAAGTTACGGAGCCAATGTTCTACTGAGACAGATGATTTTTGAGGATTAAACTCAGGTATAAAATCATTCCGACCCATGTTAACAATTAAAACAAAGTCACACACAATAAACTTATACTGCTGTCTCCACTAATAATTCTCTTTGAATAAAGTAAACTTCTTTAACAAAAGTAATTAAATTCAGTAAAAGTTCAATTATCCAAATAGTCCTTAAATTTAGTTTAAAAATTAGCACTTTAACAATTTAGAATAGTTCACTTTGTTTATTTATGGGTTGCTGAGCATTTTAACAGATATTAAAGTATGCTCAAATTATCAGTCTACTTATGTAAATACAAAAGTTCATGGAACAATCTCACCAAATAACCAGGAACATTTCAACACGCAACTGATGCATCTTCAAGCACTCTGAAATGCAATCGTCACCGTACCAGGATAGTTCACACAAATAAACCAGTTTCTCAACCAGAAAATGTTCACCCAAAACTTCAACAAACTTGTTGTACTGGAGGTCAGTGACCCTTAACGGATTGACAAAATTTGTGCAAAAATCAAGTATTAAGTACCGAACTGCATTAAACTTAGTTACTACAAGCGTTCTTATCACTAATTATGTGTGTCATCACCAAATTATATAATAAAAGCGTCTTTTCGCATCCAAAACCGCCAGTTTTTTTTTCACCAAACTTTGCACTTTAAAAGTGAAATTATCGTCCAATTCATCAAAGTTCACTCGTGGGCAAGATCACTTATCGCACTTCTGATATTGTTAGGTCGGAAAAACGATTTTAAACTCTTAAATATTCATTTATTATCCAAAATTAGGCTTAACCGACAGAATGCGCGCCAACGTTCGTATTTGACAGTTCCTGAGCTAGTGTCGGGACGCGCGCGGTAATCGCGTCGCACTAGTGTTGTGTCGTCCCCGCTAAATCGGAGGATTATTCATATCAGTACCTAATTAGAGTAATAGAGATAGATTGGCATACCATAACGGCCCTATTGTAACGGTGTGCTAATCTATCTCAATTACAACATACTTTATATATTTCACGTTTCAAATTCAAAATGTTTTATATAAAGGTAGAATTTAGTGTAGTCCACTAGTTGTACTAAAAACAATATGCTCGAAGATCTATGGCCAAGTGCTAGTTTGACTAGATGGTATATTTTAACAGTACTTCGTTTAATACAGTTTAAATTCATACAGACTATAAGATTGTAATGATATCCTCCACGGAACCCTAAAAAACTTTTTAAAATATGTGACTACTAAGCTAACTGCAGTTTCAGTTACAAATTATTCGATCTATTAATTGGGTGGAGATCAATGTAATATTTTAGTATTAGCTGTGGTCTTAACTTTCAGCTATGGAAATGCAAGTAGTTCTCAAACTTTGCTACTAAACATTTATACGATAGCTATATAAGAACATAAAAACTACGGTTTGTTGTTACTTAGTTCATTCTCGCGTTTGCTTTATTTTGTTTTATTTTTACACCATACATAAATATAATACCAAATCGACTTAAACCTAAAACTTGCATTCCAACGCGTTGCGTTTGAGTTTATGAAATCTGTAAAACGGGCACAGAAATGTGTCCCAAGCCCCACTCAAGAGAAAAGGCTATTTATCTTCGCCACTTTTAGGCCCTAACTATAAAAAGACCGTAACTGCTAGTTTAAATTTAGTACATAATAAAAAAAAGCCAAAAGTTTAAATAAAAGAGTTAAACTTTTTTGAAAATTATTTTAACTACGGCTCGACGTTTTGGATGCTCTGGAGCAGCCTTGGTTACGGGGAGACTGTCTGTCTATTTAATATAAGTGTACTACTCGCGTAAATTACAGACAGTATTTAATTTAAAAATCTAAACTAAATTGAAAAAAAATTCGACTCGGGCTCTACCAATTGAGCTACCGAGTCAAACCGGCATCATCAGAGTTTCCGTGCTGTTGCTCTACCGAATGCTACATCTCATCGTCGAATTATTCAACCGATTGATACATGCACCTCTCGCGCAATGTAATTTCAACCTTAACACTTGCTAACTAAGGTTCAATATCTTATGCTTTGCAGCTTAAGAAATAATTGAAGATGAAATTACAAAGTTAGAACGTTTGAAAACTTTTCTTTATTTTTTCATGTTATTGCACATGAAGGCACTATATAATTTAAAAATCGAAAATAAACTGAAAAAAAAATTCGACTCGAGCAGGACTTGCACCGGCATCGTCAGCGTTCCTTGCTGTTGCTCTACCAATTGAGAAAAAAAAATTGAATTTATTTTGTAACAAATAATAAAAAGTTTTCAGACAGTATTTAGCCAAATGTTGAGAATCTCTGACTCCCAATGCGAGTTGATCACTTCATAAATAATTGTGACTCGCTGGAGATATGGCGCGTGTGAAATATTATTATTTGAATTTATAATTACCTCGGTAATTACGATTAATTCGCTAATGGCTTTGGTTAATGATTCAAATCCTACGTAGATTAGGCCTAGTTCGTGTAATATACGCAATGCTAATTACATAGGAAGAATAATAACTTCGAATCTATCGTAATATTATAAAGCTGCCGAGTTTGATTTCTTGTTTGAACATGCTAACCTTAGATTCTTGGTTCGAATTGAACTGAAAAATCATTTTTTATTGGTTGGTCCATTTACCAAATAAGGCTTTCGGCCTTTTGATAAAACACTTTAACGGTTTAAACCACAATATGTTAAACATATTTCATAATTATTTTAACTACGGCCCGACGTTTCGGATGCTCTGCAGCAGCCAAATACCAACTTCGACGGAACAGGTGGCGCTAGCGTAGTTTTTAGCGTAGTAGCGTCTTTCTGTATATTTTACTGGTTGATAATTTTTATTGATAAACATTTAATCAACGCGCCTAACCGTCTATCTACACACCGAGATTTTGTAGTGTTGTATATTAAAAAAAAACCACGCGTAAAATCATATAAGAGCTTGTTATAGAATGATTAATATTATACTCTCCCTAATACTAATTAAAAATTTAAGCATGACAAGTTGTTATATTTTTAAAAATAACTGTATTTTCTTTTAATTTCAGCCGTTTATTTTATTTGATTTATCATCAAATATAACCTCTCCTGCAAGATAACAAAACTGGCAAGTGAATATAAAGTATTTGTGCGTAGTTTTGTCTTAAAAAATACACTGCATTATACATATTACAAATACGAATATAAAGTCACGCCTAGATATGGCAGTGGTAAAGCAGATAATCCCATTTCATTTGGTGTGTCGTAAAATTTCAATTTTCACGTAAATAAAGCGCGTCTTGGAAAACACGTAGAGCAGCTTAGTCCTTTATATTCATGCCGCAAAAGGAGTACAATAAAAATGGCGTCAAAACATTTTTATTCCGTTGTAAATATCTTCACGGTTCTTAATATTCGTCTCGTAACAGGAAAGAGAACGTGGTATGTGATCGTACTCATTGGAACATTGATCAACATATCTGGAAGACCATAGCAACCGCCTCTTTTATGCTACAGGGACACAGCTAGTTACACCAAATACCAACTATGGCGGAACAGACGGCGCTAGCGTAGCAGTTTTTGACACACTATCTTTGGTCTCTCCGAGGCTACGGCTTATGAAAAGCATCCGATAGGTAGTTGAAATAACTTGTTAAAACAATTTCCGTAATCCATTGCGCATTTAAAATCGTTAAAGTGTAGGCACTACTCGCGTTGACTATAAACAGTACTGAATGACATCCTATTAAAAACAACAGATCGAATCTTAATAAGAAAAACCCGCTTTCCCGTTGCGTACGTTAAACACCTTGTTGGTATCTCCGACTTATTCTCAAATCCGTACTCTAAATAAAGGAAAAAATTAACAAACTACTTTTCATGCATATTGAATATAAGTAATGTAATAAATCCTTATCATAAAGGAAATTTTCCATTTTAAAGCATGAATTTCGTATAATTAATTCTATGTATACCTGTATCGTATTTACCAAAGACAATAAGCTAATATTTGTAGAGATATACATTAAAAGGTTCTTCTAGAATTCTAGATCAATTTATCTCTAAAATATTTCTGTATCATACAATCCTAGAATCCACGACTTTTTATGTAACACGTAAACAGTCATGCAAAATCCGTAAACTCCTTTTGTATTCATTGAAAATATTAAAATTATACAGTAAATTACACTAAATAATTTTGATTGTACGAAATGGATGTAGGTTCGCGACCCGGACGAAAATTTGGCTTTTTACCAAACATTTAATATAAATATTTTTCAGATGATTCAAATATGTTTTAAAATTAACTATAAAATGATCCTAAAAAATATGGTGCACTCGGTGCGAATCGAACTGCCAATATCTTCATTATTAGCTATATATTTATTATACAATCTAGCTACCACTGAACT